TTGTCTGGTATTTCAATGTTATCTAATAGTCGAAAGTCGTTAATTTTTAAAATTATTTGGTTGAACGTACTTGTTACAAGAGTTAGGTATACATTTAAAAAAAATATTTTTATTTTACCTGCTATGAAAAAATCTTAAACATTATAAAACGAAAATATATAGTTTGCAGTTTTTCGTTGAGACAAAATATATATAAACAATTATAGTCGTGTTTTAAACTCCCGATAGCTTTCGAGTAGAAGGTTCCAATTCTAATATGAGCATTGATCGGGTCCCAGGGATATCAAAATTTCGGCCAGGAAATACATCACCGTTTTGGCTATAGACTTCCGCCTGCCCAGGTTAAAAAGTAGGTCAGCAACACATCACTGGCGGAAATTATAGGGCTGTTACTTCTCACCATCAGATATACGAAAATTTCTCTACTAAGTGACCAAAGTTTCTTACTTCGAGACGAGTTGATTATTCGAATCAAACTAGAGACTCAGAATAGCTTTTCGTTATCTGTTATTAGTTGTTTTTTTTAATATTTCTTCCTACGTAATTGTTAAAATATTTACAATACTATAGATCCGTTTGGGTAGCAGAAATAAGACAAAATAATTTAACAAGTGGTAGATTATAAAAGTTTTGATTTATCTATACTCATATGAAAAACTGACGAGTTTATTTGTTTGAACGCGCTAATCTCGGGAACTACAGATTCGAATTGATAAATTATTTTTGTGTTCATTAGAGCATTTATCAAGGAAGGCTATAAAACATCGCTCAGTGACTAATAGGGACGGAGAAACAGCGGGAAAAGTGGAAAAAACGGGAAAATGATTGTTCTTTGTTAGTTTCTGATGCGTACGCTACGAAAACGGTTCAATGTACCAAACACGTATATACGAAAGAATGATTCCTAATTAAATGATGGAAAAAATATCTGCGACAGTATATATCTATCTTTTAAGATTAACTTGCAAGAACGACGGGACGCGGACGACGTCGTCGGTAACAGCGTAAAGTTAAAGTTGAACCGGAGGTTTGCAAAAACAAATTTTGAAGCGCAAAATAACTATTCTACGCGGATGAAGTTGTTGACACAACTAGTATAAAATAAACTTCACTTGTTCACTATTACATAGAGTAAGAGAGTATTTGCAAAAAAAAAATACTTGAGGTTTAAGAACAATATATTTGACATTTTTATTACTTCTTTTATATGTAACTGTCGGTAAACCTGACCGTATAGAAGTTTAAACCATAGTTAAATTTCAGCGTGAAATGTTAGATCTTAGACTTCATAATTACAGCGTAGCATCGTTCAATGTCTACGCGCTACGAGCTACGATTTGTACGCTACGCTTGTTCGTAGCTAATGGATTCTAAGTCAAACAGGATATCTTAGAATAAGAGTCGCTTAGTTTTAAATATTCTTTGAATACTGAGTATATCAGGATACAATACTGGCTGTTTTATATAGCTTTTAGTATGTCTAATACTAAAAGCATTTAATTGCTGATTAATGTTTAAAAATACCATTTGATGTTGAATTTCTTTTAAATACCATAACAAGCTTACTTCCTGTAAGGATTTTTTGAGTTATGTTTACTTATTTTTTGACGGCGTCGTTGGTCTAATGGTAGTATGCAAAGTATGGCTAATGTTCAACGGGCACGACCCGTTTTATCCCCACAGGGTCCGACATGTTACTAATTTTTCAGAAGAAGCTGAACTTCTGAAACCACAGATGAAAAAGCTTAATCGCCTTTCGATTTCAGCCTGTGGATTTCAGAATATCCGAAGCCAAAATAGGTCGAAAGCGTTTATATGCTTTAGTCTGGGGTATACCTCCATAAAATTAACCCCAAGCCATGTCTCCTCTATTATTAAAAAATATATATATTTTATTAATACTTTAAAGTTTATAATTAAATTTTAAAGTAAGTTATAAAAGATACCTTGCAAATAGGCGAATATTGTATAAGTTAAATAAGATATTGAAGGAAAAACCGCTAATCTAATTCCCAAGAATTAGATTAGCGGTTTTCCGATAAACGCAACTGAAATCCGGCCCGTGAAAGAAGGGTAATCGTAAAATACGATTTGAAAAACGCAATGTACTCACGCGTCCCCAGCTGCAGACGAAACTCGGTTAAATAATTCCTTTTATACTCATTTCATTTCACGCTGCACCGGAATACGGTATTACGGGAATTAATAATTAAAACTTCCCCAAAGCGGGAAATGTTTGTTTGAACAGATTCTGGTTTACCTCGCTCGGGGCCTGTTTTCTCTTGCATCTGCGCCGATGTGGCGAGATGAGAGTCTATCAATGTTTTGGTTTATTCAATTGACCGATAGACAAATATTCGCTTCGTAGATTTCGTACATTTTGATATTTTTTGTAAGTACATAAGTTGGAAGAAGTGTTAAAAAAAGTAATCTGCGAAACACACTACACTATAAAATATTAAGCTTTTATTAACATAGATTGTTCTAAATAAAACGCTTTAACGTTTAAAACGCGTATTTTAGTAAAACTTGTCAGAAAAATATTTTTAACTACGGCCCGACCTTTTAGATGCTTTGCAGCAGCCGATTAACGTTTAAGTTTTATTTAAATATGTACTACTCAGGTAAACTACAAACAGTGTACATTGCTCTATTTTCTAGTTTAATACAATACTACAGATAATAAAACTTTTAAATAATATATTTAAAACATCGAAAGGAAATAAAAGGTATATCTTTGAGTGGCGATTTGTTGTTGCAGCGCTCACTGAAAACATTAAAAATTGCTTTGAATATCACTGCATAGAAAAAAGTTACGACACTTTAAAATTTTATGCGCCTTTGAGTTAGACGCTTCAAATCTATGTAACTGTTTCGCCTCCAGCCAACTCTTTGCGTATTCAAATGTAAGCAATATTTATTATTGCTCACTTTTAATTTTAAATGTGGAAACAAAATTAAATATCGCAGACGCAAAGTTGAATGTTATAGTTAGTATTTAGAATGGAACTCATCGAGATGTTATGAAAAGAAAAAAGGATAGATTTATGGGATAGATTATCAGAAGCGTGTTCAATAAAGGAGCTTCACAATTCAATTCATATCTTCATATTTATATCTTAGAAAATATCTTATATATTTTATAAGTCTTCTTTATCTTATTAAATATCTTATATATTCTTCATTGCGGATAACTTTGTCGTTATTAACCAGTTTTGAAAATTCTTTGTTCGAATGTAGATATTTGAAATATTCTAAGGAAATCCGGGTGGTTGATGGTAACATTTAAATATCGTACGGAAAACTAGTGCGTTGATTAATCTTTTCCATTCAGTTCTCTTAAGCATTAGTAGATTCAATAATCAAAATATACCAATTATAAACAAAACTAAGAAATAAGATACTACTTAGCACAAAGTAGTTAGTTGAACAGAAATTATTTAGAAATTAAAATCTTGCAATCGGTGCCAAGTTACCCTTTTAGCTTACAGTTTGAAAACTTTGGTAAGAATATTTTTTTTATTGTCTCAAGTAATTTCATACTTTTATTTATAAAGTTAAAAGTAAAAGCTGTTCCATGTTCTTGTCTCTGTCACGCCAATGTCATATACAATCTGAAGAGAAGAGGCAAAACACGAAATGGCAATTCCCGTTTAAATCACGATTATGAAGAAGGTTATATTATATCTAAATATCACGTTGATGTATTTTAGGAACGTGTACATAATGTTTTGTATTCAGCTTGTCTAAGTTGCGAAAGCTGTCTTACTTCGTTAGCTATATACATGTCTTTGGACGGACTCGTGGGTCTAATAGTAGCAATGAATGTCTAATAATTAACGGGTCGATCCCCATCGGGTCCAACAACGGGTTTCTAATTTTATAACTTGACTTCTAGAAATTGGGATATTAAATGGGTGATAGGAACATAAAAATTCCGTCCGGGTGAATCTTAATCACGAATATCCAAAGCCAAAATTGAAGACATAGCATGAGTTTTACCATTCGTACATGTTAAAACTATACGTCCATTTCATTACAGCAAAGTGCAAATGAGGGAATGTATTGTTCTGACTCACAGCAACTCAAATAACGGTGTCTGCTGCAGAGCCAATAAAGTTTGACGTTTCATAATTGCAGCCTCGAACCGTTTCCTCCGTGTATTTAGCTGGTGAATAGTTGAAACAGGCCACAGTAGGCCTCTTAGAGAGCTATTATTAACCGAAGCATTGACGTGCTACTAGATTATTTGGTTTCTCTTACACACAAAGCATACTGGAATACTGTCTGTAGTTTACGCGAGTAGTACAAATTTCAATAAAACACTTTAACGGTTTAAAACGCGATATATTTTAGTTAAACTTTTTTGAGAATTATTTTTATTATTATTGTCTCCCCGAGACCGCGGCTGCGGCAAAGCATCCGAAACGTCGAGCCGCAGTTAAAAATAATTCTCAAAAACATATCGCGTTTTTTGCCGAAAGATTATTTACCGTACCTATATTAATAGTTTACGCGAATCCTACAAATAAATAAGGCACTTTTGAATGAAATCAAAATATAATTGATATAAACGCTGTGTTGCTGTAACCGATTGAACTATCGTGTAATGTCAATCTAAATAGATTTTTAATTTATATAAAGTACATGTTAAAAATATCAAAGTTTTCCAACTTTGGAAAAGGCTTAAACGACAAGAAACATTATTAGCGCCTTATGGTTTAAGACATTTATTGACGCAAGCAATTAAACGCAAAAATTTAAACGTGTTTAATTTAATCAAAATCTGTTTAACGGGTCATAAAAACAACGACGTTTCATAAGAACCACGTGTACTTAAAATCGTAGATTCTTTATATACAGCAACTAGCGAGTCGGCGATTGTTTCCGCGTATAATAGTTATTTTGTGCACCCAAAATTGTTTTTGCAAACTGTTACCTACGTCATCGGCGGCGTAATGGAAGAATTACTGCTAAGTACAAGTTCTGATTTCACTTACCTTAAACTGGCTCAGGTACTCTTGTTGGCGTGTGATGTCCGTGGCGAGGATAAGCGAGCTGATCTGCCGCTCCAGCTTGACCCTGATGTCACGATCGAGCAGCCCGCTCTCAATCAGGCAACTTATAGCGGACCTCCAATGGTGGTTCTCGAGAACAGATGTGTTCTATAAAAAATGCTTACATTAAGACTTGGTGTGTGTGAATGTAGCTTGTTAAATTGTGTTGTGTCCGAAGGACCTCGTTAAAACAGTAAATTTATTTAAATGAAACACTAACGGTTTAAAACGCGATATATATTAGTTAAACTTATTTGTAAATCATTTTAACTACGGCCCGACGTGTCGGATGCTTTGCAGCAGACGTAGTGACGGGTGACTAAAGTAAAACTGTCGGAAACGTTGGGCCGTAGTTTAAATAATTTTCAAATAAGTTGAACTAACATATATCGCGTTTTAAACCGTTAAAGAGTTTCATTTAAATGTGTATTACTCGCTTGCACTCTAAGGTCAATGTTAGACTAACGTTTCACGGTTACACCATCCCATCTCCGTTGTTTATGTTCAAAATTCTGGGAACTCTCTAAGAGGTCCTTCCTAATATGTGATGATGTAACTAGCTGGAAACCGTGAGATGTGCATTGTAATAAACAACGTAATTACAATTTTGAATATAATACCATCTGTTAATGTACCTTTGGAAACTATATGGACCATAAGAAAATTGTTAATAACCCGTTCTTAATTATAAAAAATAATCTCAACGAGTTGAGAGTACTCGAGCTTTACATAAGTACGTTAATTTATTTTTCTACGATGTTTTGTTGTTTTTTTCTCCCTAGAAATGAAATAGCGTAGTTAAAATAAAGTCTGATCTATTTGAACCTTTTGTTTTACTAGCTGCGTCAGCGACTTAGTCCGCGACATCGGTCGTGCCCCGTCGTTGTTGCTAGTTAATCTTAAAAGATAGACTTTTAGTGTCGCAGACATTTTTTACGTCGTTTATAGAGGAATCATTCTTTCATACACATTTCTCGGTGTCTTGAAACGATTTCGCAGCGTACGCATCGGAAACCCACAGCTATGAATAATTTGCCCCGTATTTTTACCACTTTTCCGACTGTTTCTTTGCTCCTATTATGCACGGCGCGCTATTTTCTATAGACTTCATCGTTAAATGCTCTAACTAACACAATAATTATTCAATTCGAACCAGTTCCTGAGATTAACGCGTTCAGACAAACAATCTTTTCAGCTTTATGTATTAGTATAGATTAAATGAGCACACCTAGAAAACAGCCCTTCTTTTTCTTAGCTATAATTTGTATGTGCTACCAAACATTTCTTAGAATAGTGGCTATTAATTTAACTTCCAGAATAACTAAAGGAGTGGGCCCTATCGCCCCTACTAATAGCAACATTGTAAACCAGTAATAACAAGAACAATGCAATTTCCACCGCACTAACGAACAAGAATTAATTAACAGTCCGGCACAGCACAAATAAGTTCATTTAAGCTCGCTCGAGGCAACACATAATATCTTTCAAAGCCAATACTTTTACTAGCGTTCAACCCGGGGCAAAATTTTTATTCCATTAGAATAATTAGAATTCTTTGCTGTCCGACATAAAAATCAGAGTTTTAATTATACATTTATTTATGTTTTCTTGGTTTTGTTCTTCTTCGACAGTTATACGATTCTCGTAGGTAATTTATTGGATAAAAAAAAATAGAAAACGGGCGGGACTTGAATCGGCATCCACAGCACAATTGAGGTACCGTGTGGTGTCAATAACGAAGAAGGAGAAATAATTTTTACCTTATATAATGCAGTCAGGTGCATAAATATTACAGTTTTCAAGTCCATTTACCAATAACTTATATTGGAGTACTTAAAACATATTTTTTTCTACGGATTAAAGCGAAGGTTGGCAATAACTAGTATTATCTTCCATTATATATTTGAAAACTTAAATATGTTCACATGTTAGTGCCATCAGATACTATATAAATTAAAAATCGATTATAAATTGATTTTTTAAGGTTAAATAAATCGATGACGTAATAGGTAATTGTAGCTCAATCGGTTAGACCAACAGCACGGAACGCTGTATGTCGAATTTTTTTAAAATTTATAATTGATTTTTAATCTATCATTATTGAATTTCATCTGAAATTGTGAAGCTAATAAAATTGTTTACCTGATATAGTGCAGCCAAATGGTTTGAGGTGGCGATGAGGAAGGGCTGGTTCACCCCTGGATGGTCCATGTCATGGGCAATGGCTGCTAGCAGGGATGCCATAATTTCAGACGGCTCCAAGTGTTCTCGGATCTGTTAAAGGAAAATATACATCTAGAGTCTATAGCCAAACGACATCGTAAGGAACAGTATCACGCACTTTGACATTTGGAACACAGGGGGTGTTCCCTTTACGAGAGCAACCTTAAACGTCAGGCCATAATTATATAAAATGAAAAATACGTCAACTACTATATTTCGCGTTTCAAACTGTTAAAAGTGTTGTACTCGTGGTAATATTCCTGGCAATCGTGTTTAATATATAGAAATCGATAGTTCATTTAAATTAGAGGAAAAGATATCGAAAGTTCTTAAAGAATTCATTGTCACCATTGATTTTCTTAGACATACTCGCATCCGCGCTGCACTTACAACACCCGTCAATCTTATTAGACCAATTACTAGATAATATATATGTAGTTGATATAAATTTCTGATATAATATTCAGGATTTGCATTCGGATGTTCGATAAATGGCGATAATTGTCTTTGGTTGACCAAGTATGAAAGTACTAGTAGAATTCGTAACGCGCTCGATACCAACGAAATCGAAAAAGGGTTGAGGTCATTGCCCCATTTTACATTCAACCACAATGAAAAGAAATGTAAGCTCGCAGAACTCGGGCGAAATTTGTATTTACTATCGCCGCCAACTCAAAAAAAATGTTCCCACATTTTGTGCTCAGTGACATGGAAGTCGCAAAATGTAGTGGAGACGGAAGCATGCCCTATATTCTGAGTGAGACTCCATTTCAAAACGATATTGCAAGTAGACTTTTTCAAGGTGTTATTTTTGAATTCGGATTTCATACATTTGTAAATGGAACACCTCTCTCAACACAGATTTTTCGACTATACTTATGAATTTTGTTATCTATACTAATGTATATATTAGTATAGATCTCTCTCAGGAATTTGTTTGTTTGAACGCGCTAATCTCAGGAACTATTGGTTCGATTTGAAAATTTGTGTTGGTTAGAGCATTTATGGAGGAAGGTTTTAAAACATCGCGCTGTGACAAATCAAAGCGAAGATACTATTGTAAAGAAGGTAAGAAGAAGAAAAAGCCACGACGAGTCATCTGTACGTAACAATGTACGTAAACAAGGATTACCTTTATTAACAAAAATCGATCAATCCTATCAACAAAACCTCGGAGAAAATTACTATGACACCTTGAAAACTTCACCGGAAACGCTCAAAATTGAAATGCCAGTGCCTTAGCGTTTGAAGTGCTAAGTTATTTCGTTAACTTTCAAGGCACTGTAAGTTTTTTGTTTTTTAATTACAGAGGAGGACAGAAATGGCACGGGGTTCTCTTGATGGTTGGTCATATACCCCAGCCTACAGCATCTAAAATTGCGTTGTCGACCTATTTTGGCTTTGGACACTCGGAAATCCATAGAATGCAAGCGAATTACGCGATTAAGCTCGGCTACCGAGTCTACGAGGTGTAGACTCGGTAGCTCAAGCTCAAAAATCGTCGAATTTTTTCATCTCATCGATACGTGCACCACTCGCACAATGTAATTTCAACCTTGGCAGAATTCGATTTTTAAATTAGCAAGACGTTGGATCTGCTACCATTACACCAACGAGTCAAATACCTCTGACATCTGATTAAGCACCCCTCCTGGCACAAATGCATTTCCCTATCTCAGTCCACGTCAGACACGGTGCCAGAATCGCTTTGCCTAGCCGTCTCGACTGTGCCAATTTTTGAACTTTGTGGGTTACGCTTTAAAGCAATGAATTTAAGAATGACTACTTACTATTTTAACTGTCTGTAGTTTGTGCGAGTAGTACCTACACATTTAAATAAATGTCTTTAACGGTTTAAAACGCGATATATATTATTCGATAAAACATTTTACAAATTATTTGAACAACTAAATATATATATAAATACTTTGACAGTGACAACGTATTTAAATAAAACACTTTAACGGTTTAAAACGCGATATATTAGTTAAACTTATTTGAAAATGATTTTTAACTTCGGCCCGACGTTTCGGATGCTTTGCAGCAGCCGTGGTCACGGGGAGACTAAAGATGGAGGATGTCTCAGACGTCAAAGTAAAGAATTGCTACGCTAGCGCCATCTGTTCCGTCGAAGTTGGTATTTGGCGAAACTGGCCGGGTCCTTACAGAATTGACTAACGGTGTCTTCGCGTTTGCTGGTATGCTGTTTATTGGGATCCAGAGTTTTTAATATGGGATCCCAGGTGTTTGATAGTTTGAGGCCGTCCTCCCTATTGAAATTTCGGTGTTTTTTGATTTCAATTGCTTCGCGTACCAATCTTGGAAAAAATCGACTCTCCTTTGCGAGGATTTTTGGTTGGTCAAAGCGAATGTAGTGATTGGGCCCTTCTGATGAGTGTTGGCATACCGCAGATTTGGAGAGACGTTTATGTTTTATATCCGCGACGTGTTCTTTAATTCTGTTTGAGATGCTACGCTTTGTTTGGCCGATGTAGGATAGGCCACAATCACAATCCAGTCTGTAAACGCCTGCATCTTGTAAAGGGATAGTACACTTGCTTGGTTTCAGGAATTGCTGAATCTTCTTGTGCGGCTTGAAAATTGTGTCAATAGAAGCTCGATTTAGGACTCTGCTAATTCTATCTGTAACTCCCTTCACATATGGTAGGTAGGCGGGCTGACGTTTGACTGTGGGTGGCTTGTTCCTGTTCCTGGGATGCTGCGGAGGGACTCTCAGCTTGTTCTTGCATAGGACCTGCTTGACATGCTGTAACTCCTCATTTAAGTGGGCAGCATCACAGAGACGGCGGGCTCTCTGAAACAAAGATACTCCGACAGAACTAAGTTGGCTGGGGTGGTGATGTGAGTCACCGTTCAAATACCTATCTGTATGGGTTGTTTTTCTAAAGACGGTATGCCCAATATTACCGTGTTCATCACGAATTACTAAAATGTCTAAGAAAGGTAGTGTGTTATTGTCCTCCTGTTCCATTGTAAACTTAATGTTATTGTGAATTGAGTTAAGGTGTGTAAGAAATGCAGATACTTGTGCTTTGGGTAAGATGGTGAAGGTATCATCTACGTATCGCTTGTAAAGCTTAGGTTTAACCGGGGAAGAAGCAAGGGCTCTCTCCTCAAAGTCTTCCATAAAAATGTCAGCAACTAAGGGTGAAACTGGAGAACCCATGGCTACCCCATCTACCTGAACATAGAAATCCCCATTCCAAAGTAGGTACCCGGTTGTCAAGCAATGTTCTAAGATATCCGCATATTCTATAGGCATGTTGTGTTTAATAAGTTTGCTCTTAATAATTTTGATACAATCAGCTATAGGTAAGTTTGTAAAGAGTGATGTGATGTCAAAGCTTACCATAACCTCATTGTCCGCTACCTTTAGACCTTTAATAGTTTCTACAAACTGATACGAATCCCTGACGTGAGCATTTGTATTTCCCCTGAGGGGGGCAAGTGTTCTGGATAAGTGTTTTGCTAGTTTATAAGTGGGCGAATCTATTTGACTAACTATTGGACGTAAGGGATTGTTTAATTTATGAATTTTAGGTAACCCGTACATTTTAGGTGGCTTCGGGCAGGCTGTGATGAGATGTTTGGCGTCGAGGTTTAGAGTCGTTTTGTACTTGTTAATAAGTTCCGACGTCTTTTTCATTACTTTGGTTGTGGGGTCCTTTGCAACCTTGTTGTAAACCGCGTCGTCATCAAGTATTTCCGACATCTTTTGTTTATAGTCCGACGTATCCATCACGACCGTGGCGTTTCCCTTGTCAGCACGCAGTACTATAATATCTTCATTCGCTCTTAGTTGTTTGAGAGCAGTCGACTCCGCTAGGGAAAGATTGTGTTTAGGCGGCTTGCTGGAGCGTAGGATACAGGATATATCCTGCCGTATTGCTTCCGCATCTTCCTTAGGGATGACATTTTTGAAGATGCTTTCCTCGACGTAGCTGATTATCTCTTCGCAAGGTATTTTTCGCGGCGCCGGAGCAAAATTTAGTCCTTTGTTTAATACTTGAACGGTGTTTTCATCTAAATTGACTTTTGAGAGATTGACAACTAAATTTTGACATTGACTTTGATTGTCATGACGTTTATACAAGTTAGTTTTGTCTGTGAGTTTTGTAAATTTTTTTAATCTGTTTATTTTTATAAATTGTGTATTTATTGAATGATCTATTTGATACTATGGTTTTGCAATGTTGCCAATCTTCATAATTAAAAATATGTTTAAGTGAGTCATCTTCGTCTTGGATATCAACATTACACAACGTACTTCACTCCATAGTATAAACAAAGTCGCTTTTGTCCCTATCTACGCTTAAATCTTCAAAACTATACAACGGATTTTAATGCATTTTTTTAATGGATAGAGTGATTCAAGAGGAAGGTTTTTATATACTTACAACGTTTACAGTGTTTATGTAGTGTCATTTTACCTGCATTGCACCCGAGCGAAGCCGGGGCGGGTTGCCAGTAGTAAATTAAGCAGCCGGAATGTACTATTAATTTGAAATATTTAGATCTAATGAAATTTTCAGTAAACCACCTGAACTTACCGTAGAGTTTACTTCTTGAGCTTCTATTAGCTTAATGCATATGCAAATCATAATTTAACTACGTGCATGTCTCTATTTAGGACCTCAATCGTTCATGTACAGTAGAACTAGCTGTGTCAGCGACTTCTTCCGTGTATATAGTTATTTTGGGTATCAAAATTTGGTTTTTTAAACCTCATTTTTATAAATTTTAGGTGTTACCCAAGACGTCGGTCGAGTCTCGTCGTTTTGCGAGTTAATCTTCAAAGATAGGCATATAGTGTCGCGGATATTTTTTTGGATAACTTAAAGAGGAATCATTCTTTTATAAATCGGAAATCCACAGAGATTTATTTCATATATCTCGCTGTCACAGCGCAATGTTTTATAGCATATAACCTTCTTCGATAAATGCTCTAACCAACATAAAATTTCAATTCCGTCCAGTAGTTCCTGACGTTCGCGGCGTTCAAACAAACAATCTCTTCAACTTTACATATT